CTCTCTCTCTCTCTCTCTCGCGTTGTCATACCTCTGGTCCACAAACAGATACATGCCGTCCATACTGTGTCGGGACGCGTACTGATGGGGTTTGACGGGAAAACTCTTGTCCGGGACGTGATGTTGACGATCGGTTTGGGGCATCACTCGAGCCATCGCTACCAAACAGCCCGTATGCATACCACCAGCGACCCCACCCACACCTCCACTGGCACTCCATAAGCCAAAATCACTGACCATCTCGTCGTCTGTGGACAGGGATCCGCTGGTTGTGGCCATCGGAGTGGTGTCCACAGCCGGTATCCATGGCATCAGATAACCCGTGCAATAGAGGTCGCAGTACTTGTCGTTAGTGATGGTAATCCGGCGGCGTTTACCCGGTGTGGCCAACACTGGGAGCCCTTTGCCGTCCGTACGGTTGACGTGAAACTTGTATTTCATGCGACAGTAAAACGAGCGGCGACTGCCCGGACACGAGTCCATCGGGTCGTGATCGTCGTCGTCGGTGTTGGCCGTCGTGTCCACCCCTTCCCGGTGTTCACCGCCGGCCATACCATCTCCTAATGTTAGTAAAGCTATTGTTTGTACAAAAAATATCGTTAAAAATGTTACCATGTTTTTCAAAATCATAACCCAAAGCCACTAATACTTGACCGTTAAATCTTAATCCAATGATAATACATATACAATGTGTGCACACTATGTAGTATAGTATTAAAACACTCGTGTATTTATTATATGTGATATGATATACCGTTTTAATGATAATTAAAATTAAATCAATGGATGAAAAATTACCAGTTTTATTTAAAACAAACCCAAAATAGCAAAACTGGTAAAACACTTACTCTTGGCGTCAATGAGTCTGTCTTTAGGGCAGACACCAGACGCTGAAGACATGGATGACTCCCACAAAGACAACTGTTCCTTCACTTTGGGTATGTCTTTGTGGTGCAGGACATCGAACCAACTCATGCCCAACAGATCCCTCTGAATGATAATTACAACATTTGTTTTTGCAATAGGATCATGTAATTAATTGATTAATGTTTCGTTTACCTGATTGTAATTCAGCGTATTCTTTACACTATTGGACACGTATAATATTTTACCACGATCGCAGCTGACCACAAACAGGAACCCCTCGGTCACCTGTAGTTAGTTAATTAATTGTAACGTTTTTGTTGGGTTGAGTTTTCGCACCAAATAATAAATGTCAGAAAAATAAAAATGTTTGGAAATATCAGTAATAGTAATAAATCTTTAAAATAAACATGTTAAAATTCAATTTGATTAATGAATTAAATTAGCTAGGTGATAAATATATAAAAGAACAGTTACATTAGAACTTTATAAAATAATATTTATTGATGGTCTAATTATTAATTTAATTAAAAAACCTAATACTGGACACTCCAATAATAAATTATTTAATAAAGTTGCTTAAATAAATTTGTAATAATTTATAAATAATCGCTTAAAATTTTAGTTTAATGAACAATAATTATGCTTAACGTAATAAAATAATTAGAAAATTATTAATAAACCAAATATCTTATTAATTAAAAACGATATCTAAACTATTAATAAATAATAATAAATCCTGATTTATTTTATAAACTGTAACTATATATTAAATGCATATATTATTGTTTTTAAATTGGCTTTCTACAACAATTAAATTGGCAATCACAAGAGTAAGTTAATTAATAACATAAAATAATTTAAACAAAAACAACTAACTTATGTAAATCAATATGATGAAAATTCTTTAAATCATTCATTATCTATCATTTTAATTTACAAAAACTCCATTTTGCACATTTTTACCCAACAACAAGCATTGTAATTATCATAATACATTAATAATAATAATAATCAACAATAAAAATCGATATAATCTTTCCTGAGATAAGAGTCGATCGACACAATCATCGGAAACAAGTGTCGGGATGTGATGGCCGGCGGCCGCATCCGCCATCGCCGACCGTTTCTTCACAGCCTTAATGTGCTGTACAGTCATCCGAAGTACAGTGAGTTTGTCCAGTTTGCGATTGGCCGTAATGGCCCGACACATGGGCACGAGTAGTGCCATACGCCTGATGAGCATGTTCATTTTCTCGCGGCGGCGTTTCTCAATCTCGGAGTGGTTTTGTTTGCGCACCTCTTGGTTCGTGACCGGTGTCGACCCGTATGTGTCCGCAAAGTTGTCCAATAGGTGATCCGCCACTCTATGGTTGACATGTCAAATGATAGTCAGTTTGATTTTGCAATTTATTTTTTATGGTAATGACAATTATTTTTGTTAATATGTAATATGGAGTTTATTTGTAATACTTTATTTTTAAGTTATAACTTATAAGTCAATTTGTTTGTAATTATATCAGGCTAGTAGATTTTGGTTATCCTAGATTAGCCTTACTTGCATACTTAATTTTATGTAATTGTCTGTTGTCAATAGTAATTAAAATAATAACAAAATTAAAAATATCTTTATAAAATTTTAAGTAAATTATTAAATGAATTAATGTGCATAAAATCAATTATGGTAAACTAGTTTTAGTTGTTCTATGTACATATTTATATAAATTTTATAATAAGTATGTTCAATGCATGCGTGTATATAATTAATTATCTAGGGTATTTATTGATTTTATAAGAAATGCACACAAATTTGTGTAATAAATATATTGTAAATTGTAAAAAATATTTAAAATATATAAAGTTAATTAACAATACATTATTTAATTATCATGTACCAATGTTATATATTTTTATTATTATTAAAGTTTTTACTGCTTTCACAATAAAATTGTTGCCTTAAATAATTAGTTAAATTGTATTAAAATACTAATTATGAATTTAATTGATGTCCACCAAGTGTTACCACAAGAATTATGGATTAAATCGGCAGACAATCAATTATATTTAATTGGTTTAACACTGCCAGCAACGCAAGTAAAAAGACCATGGTATTCAAGTCCTACACTAAAACTAATGGTGTTAAATTTATTTCTCGCAATAAATATCATGTTGATATTTGTGCCAAACAATTACCGATACATACATATAATATTTGGCGACTTTTCATACTTAATACGAATCGGCGACTACTATAAGATCGGAGCCGACATTTGGACAATACTTAACGTTAGTATTCAATTGATATATCACTACAACTATTGGTGTGGTATTGAACCGACATTTCTCCGGGTGTTTGCTATGATGTCAGGTATGGTTACCCCCTATAGTGTCGGTCTTACTGACCCCCACTCGACGTATAAATACATGAAAACAGCCCGACGTTTGTTCACTATAACGAGGTTTGTCAGTACCAAATCAGTGCCTGCAATGAGCGTAATGTGTTTATATTCATACATAACCACAACTTCAATATACGACACAATTCTTTATGGTATACCACATAATATATTTAACGCTATTGTATTTTACTATAACTACTCGATCAGTTTATGGCAATTGACATATTTTTACCTTCTATGTTATTATCTGCGGCTTAAACTAAAAGGATGGCGGAACAATATTAGACAAATCAATATTCATACAAATTTATACAGTATTTTACATAAACTTCAGGCCATNACTACCGCCGAACCCGAGGTCGGTCGGCCATATGGATTATATCAATGGACTCCTTATGCACTGGACTTTCATTTTATATTGTCAAATCCCGGTTGCAAACTTAGGCAGATCTCGACATCCTCCTTTATTTAAGCAACTTTATTAAATAATTTATTATTGGAGTGTCCAGTATTAGGTTTTTTAATTAAATTAATAATTAGACCATCAATAAATATTATTTTATAAAGTTCTAATGTAACTGTTCTTTTAT